GGTGGGATTCAAAATTTTTTTACTACTGGTTCTGTGGGCGTGGCTTGGTAAGCGTGACAAGGGAAGGATACTGCGAAATCCCCCTTCCCTCCCCACCCCACTAACCTGCTTTCCAGCTCTGTTCTCCTTTGCTGGGCAACCAAAGAAGACCCAGCCAATCAGCTGGGACTCAGGAGGCGGAGAAATGATATGGGGGCGGGGCCAGTCAGAGGCGGGATTGTCCAGTTCTCCAAACTACTCAATATTTCTGCTATCAGTTCTCCAGAACCTGTCACAACTGGCTGAATGCCACCTCTGGTTGCAACCCATTTCGGCCAGCCAACTTGCTAGGGATTCTGGGACTTCCCATCTGGATGTGAGAATGTACATACTCCCTTTTCAGGACTTGGAATTGGAAATGTTGCTATTTTGACCAGGAAAAGCTCCAGAAAACGTGTCCTAGTTAGGCCAACAACCCGTGGAGTATGAGCCAGCCAACCGTGTGCTGCAGAGGCCAAAAAAGCCAATGCGATTCCAGGCTGCATCAACAGAGGGACGGAATCAAGATCGCATCGAGCGTTAGTGCCACTTTTACACTACGCTGATGTGGCTACACTTGGAATAATTGCACACCCAGTTTGGGTCACCACGAGACAAAAAGAGCAGACTCTAGAAAACAGGGGTCTTCAAACTTGACGGCTTTAAGACTTGTGGACTTCATCTCCCAGAATTCCTCCTCCTCCAGTCATGTTAGCTCAGGAATTCTGGGAGTTGGAAGTCCACAAGTCTTAAACTTGCCAACTTTGAAGAACCCTTGCTCTAGAAAGAGTGCAGGGAAGAACAACGAAGGTGATTTAAGGGTCTGGAGACTAAATTGCACGATGAACAAATTGACGGAGCTAAGAGAAGAATGAGGGGGGGGGTAACATGATAACCGTCTTTTGGGAGTTGAGGGGCTGCCCCAAAGAAGCAGCGGCTCAACCTATTCTCCAAAGCACTAGAGAGTAAGACAAGAAGCAACGGGTGGAAACTTATCAAGGGAAGATCCAACCTAGAATTAAGGAGAAATCTTCTGACAGGGAGAATGACACAGAGAAACTCGGTGGTTTCTTCCCCAAACCCCCAAAACTTTAGACTGTCTACTATGGACCTCACCCCTTTCCTAAGAGGCCTGTAGGGAGCGTGCCTAAGCGCACCAACGTGCCTACCGTCCCTGTCCTATTGTTTCTTTTTTGGTCATATCCATCTCGTGTACTCATAGCCGTGCTTCTACCTGTTACCTAATACTTGCTTGACAAATAAATAAATAAGTAACCTCCAGAATTTGTGGGTGCTCCCTCACTGGAGGTTTTTCAAAAACAGACTGTAGGTCTAGACTAGAGGATCGCTGAGGTTTCTTCCAGCCCTACGATACCGCGTATAATTAATTCATAATTATAACTGGTTCTCATCATTCAGCCGTTGCCTGGTTTGATCTCAGTTTGGAGGGTGGGGTGGGGGAAAGAGTTACTTTTCGGGATATCAAAAGGACAAATCAGCCCAGGGCAACAAAAATGGTGCTTTGAGCGGGGCCTCTCTTGCAAGAGAAGAGGAGGGGGCCTCTCCTGGTTTGGGCCAGAAACAAAGACTCTAGTGTTGTCTGAGGAAGGGACAATGGATGCCAGCGGGGGGTCTGGGGAGGCCCCTGAGGAGGGGGCCCTGGAAAGTTGGCATGGCTGTGGGAACCGACCTGCATTTAAAAAAAGTTTTTAAAAGCCCACGGTGCATCTTGGCCAGAGGAGTTAGCCTTTCTCCGTCCCTGCAATATTTCCGTTTCCCTTTAATGCAAAACTTTTGTGTGACTCTCTCCTCTTTTCTCCTCCCTGCAAGTTGCTCGCTTGAAGAGATTCTTTTTTTAAAAAAAAAAATCCATTTTCCCCCCCACCCAATTCCGGGACATGAAATCCACCCAGTTGAAAGTTTCAGAAACATTTGTCTAAAGGATAGTGTGTCCTCGCAGATAAGTTGATGTTATTAACTTGCTTTGCTTGTTTGTATCCTGCCTTTATTCTTTTTGACAAATAATGCAAGGCTATGAACGTACACACCTACCTATCTTTCTAACGCTCTTGGGTAGGTGAGCGGGTACAAGGTCCGAGATACCTCTCCGTGGGTGGATTTCTCACCAGACAGTTCCCGTGGGAGTTGCAGACAGACTGGCAGCCCCTGATCAATAAGATCAGGCCGCGGGAATCTTTCCAACATTTTTCTCTGGCGTCCCCATCCAGGCACAGGTGAGGGACAGTGGGTGGGAGGCAGAAAAATCAGCTATTAGCCTTAGACAGGGACGTTGGCTGGGTGGTCTTGGACCAATCACCCTCTTCCTATTTTTCTGACAACAACCCTGTGAGGTGGATTGGGCTGAGAGAGGGACTGGGCCAAAGTCATCCAGCTGGCATTCATGCCTAAGGCGGGACTAGAACTCACCGTCTCCTGGTGATTGGCCCAAAGTCCCCCAACCAACTTTCATGCC